CGTGTTGTTTTATGGAAGAGGAAAAGCAGGCCCCATCATGAGGTTAGGTGATGGGTTCTGAGCCTGGCTGCTCTCTGGAGGTGGAAGGTGTGAGATGGCACACCTAAACACGGGCAAAGGCGATACCTTGGCTGGGGTTCATTCTCTGGCCCCCTCCCCTTTCTCCTTCACATGCATAGTGGGGAATCGGAGAAGGAGGTAAGGTCTCTTGAATCTCGTGGGACCTCGTGAGCCTCCTTCAGTGACGGCAGGGTGGGACGGAAGAAGAAAACTTTGCTGACATACCATGAACCATGGAGGATACCCAAGAGACGCTACTGGGCTCTCTATGGCGTCGAAGGGTGAGCTGAGACCCAACACATTGACTTGAACTCTCCAAAACGCGACCTACTGCTGTAGCATCCATGCTGGGCTGGGGTAGCTGGGGTGGGTGGGGCTCACTGGGGCGCTGTCATTGGTGCAGGGAGTGGGCTTGCAGTCTTGACGTCACCTCCCTACCCAGAGGGTCGTGACAAGCGCTTACCCCTCAAGAGCATTGAGGACAGATGGCCAAAGCAGGTGGTGAGTGTAGGTAAGGGGACAAGAAGGGGCTGGTCCTGCAGGCAGTGGGTGGTGTTTGGGCACAGGCATGGGGCGTGTGTGGCTGTAGGAAGACAGAATGGGGAATGGTTGAGAATAACACCTATGAAGACATCGGGACCCAGCGAACTAAGTGTCCTGTGCTTCGTGTTGAGGAGATTGGCCTTGTCCCTTGAAAAGGGTTCTCTGTTATGACACCTCCAGAGTAGGTCTGGAATAATGGCGCCCCAAGGATAGGTCAGAAAGGAACATCGTCATTTATTGTATCAGATGACCATATTTGGTTTTTCACGTTTTTCGCTTGTAAACGTATAGGACAGGGACGTAGAGATCCATTCTCAAAAAGATACGGGAGTAACGCAACTTTGGATATCTTTATTCTTTTCAAATGAAAAAGATACCCATTCATCAACTGTAGAAGAAAGTGAGATTAAAATCTTACACCGTTGAAAGTTTTATAAAAACACCTTAACAAATATGCATATATGTAAATCCTTTGTAAGATCTTGTTTTGATTTTGAAACAGAGCAGAATACGTTTTTATAAACACCTTTTTAACCTAAGTACTACATGTTTATTGGAGAAATAAGAGAAAATGCAGTTTGGTGAAAGAGAAAAAAAATCTAAAAATCCCCATCACTTGTTCTCCAGAGATGGCGGTTGACATCTTTCTGCATAGCTCTCCCAAATTCTTTCCGTGAATGTATTTACATTTCTTCACAAAGTATAATTGTGCTTCAATAATGTTTTCAGACTTTTCAATTTAATTCACTTTGAGCACGTTTTCATATCGATATATTCTGCGGTATCATTTTAGTTTTCAAGCATCACAGAAACATCCCTAAATGTACTGCAACTTAACTCGTTTTCTTTCGGTTGGACATTTAGGGTGTTTCCAATGTTATGCTATTATAAACAACACTACAAAGAACATCCTTGAAAATAAATCATTGCGCACATCCTCTATTATTTCCTTATGATAAATTTCTAGAAGTGGAATTTTTTAGTTCAGAGACGATGCACACAGTTTTTTAAGGACATCTCAAACGTATCGCCGAATTGTTCATTGCAAAGGCGGTAGCAATTTATAGTCACGCCAGCGGTAGAAGAAAACAGCCGTTTCACCAACCAAAAGTGAGAACGTTGGAAATAAGAACAATACAGGTCAAAGAATTGGTCTCTGGGGTCTCGCCCGTGAGTCCCTGAAAGGAAAGTTGAATAAGCTGGGCTTAGCGAGGGAAACCAATCTCTGTGGCGAGGGACCACAGAGAAACGAGACTTCTCTTTTTTGGCTGTCTTCCTAAGGTGTCATTTCACTATTTTAACATGAACCCAGGGACTTGCAGGAAGATACTTATATATCATTTTTTAAATATCTGGTTATACCATTAAGAGATGAAAATGCATTCCCAGAATGAACTGATTTCTAGGAAGTAGCTACTCCCCCCCACCCCACCCCCACCAAAATAGTCCTTCTGGGTTGTTAAAAGCAGAACATGACAAAATAAAAACACAAAGGGTGGGGCAGCAGACGGCAGGACCTTCCGTGTGAGTGTCTGCGACTGTCCTCTGCACAGAACCGAGGGGGATGAGGGCTTGAGTTGCGGATCATTAAATACGATCCAGCTCTGCATAACGAGGAATTATGACAGGGCCATGAGAAAAAAAAAAAGAAGAAGGAAGACCTTCTCTAAAAGCAGTCTGGGGTTTTGACCATTTTTATCCCTGAAGGTAAAACCCTGACCCGGTGGCAACGAGCCATCTGAACTTTCCTGGTGGACAAAGTTACCCTTCTGTGTACGCACTCAGTTTTCGCAGACGACCGAAGCGGCCCCGTGTGTTTGGGTTACAGAGGAAGGTACACACCTTCCTGTCATTTGAGGTTTTGTAGATGATGCTCTCGTTGACACAGAGCTCTCCTTGGTTTTCAGATTCTGTGCGCTGATTGCTGGTTGAGAGCGTGAGTGTTACAAAACTGGTTGAGATCCGATAGCAGCCGGAAAAACTGAGCATGTACATGCCCCACGACCCAGCAATTCCACATCTAGGTGCCCCCTTCAGGCCGGCCCTTCCCACACTTAACCTGCACGCGGATCATCTCGAGAACTGGTGAAAATGTAGGTGGGGAGGGGCGCCCGAGACTCTGCTCCACACTTGGAGCAGCGAGGCCCCTGGGGGTGATGGTCTGAACCTCGGCTGCGCTTAAGAATTACCTGGGGAGCTTTTAACAGTTCCGATGCCCAGGCTGCCCTCCAGCAGGATGAAGTTAGAATCTCCGTGGGCGAGACCAGGCTCGGGCCCCCATCTCCGTGTGATTCCAATGTAGAGCCAGGGCTGTGGACCAATGCTGATTCCTTCACATGTGCGGGGTGGGCACGGGCCCTCGGGTGTTCACGGAGAAGTGAATTGTGTCCACGCCTGTGAGGGGGCCCAAGAGCTGCTTGGTTGACACGATTGAATACTCCCACGTGGATTAACTTGGACACATCTTGAAAATACACTGAAATACACTGAAAATGCTCTGGTGGGTACCCAGAGCAAATCAGATACTGTTCACGTGAAGTTTAAAAGCACAAACAGCACCGGAGGCCTGGGTGGCTCGGTGGGTTGAGTGTCCGACCTCGGCTCGGGTCATGATCTCACAATGCGTGGGTTCGAGCCCCGTGTGGGGCTCTGTGCTGACGGCTCAGAGCCTGGAGCCTGCTTCGGATTCTGTGTCTCCCTCTCTCTCTGCCACTCCCCTGCTGGAGCTCTGTCTCTCTCTCTCTTTCTCCAAAATTATAAATAAACATTAAAAAAAATTAAAAAAAAAATAAAAGCACAACCAACA